ACATCTAGAACGATGTAGCCTTCATATGACATTTGTGATTTACTTTTGCTTTTAAACAACTGTTTCTCCTGACATTTTATAGAACGTATATATGACTCAGAACCTGGTTTTGATGATGGCTTGCATCGATCGTTGGGCTACGCGGCAAACATTTGTACCGGCCGCCATTAATTCTCCGGCAATGCTTGCGCTGATTTGTTGAGGGCGCGAGTGCCCTCACTGTTTTCCCACGACGATTGGCCACTGGGCGGAAACTACGTGTTTACGGTCTCTTCTGTACAGTTCTGAAATCGGACAGATAGCGGACCGAGGAATTTCAATATCTGACTAAATCTGCCGACCAATTTTGCACCGGTACGGTATCTTTGAGCCGAGTGCGAAACGATGGGGAAGAGCAGACGCGTAGCAGGACAGTTGGTGATTCGCTTCGAAGTTCAACACCGTGTCACCAGAACAGGCCTGACGCATTGGTGCGAGCTGCGGCTTGATGCAAGGCAAAGCGGATGTTATCACTGACAGTGACACTGTATCAGGCTCTGTATTATCGAACAGAGAGTGTCTTTGTTGTCAAGAAATGACATCAGTCAGGGAACACCTTCAAGCCTCGTACTGTTTCAGTTTTTCCAATTCGATTTTCGATGGGTAGACAAGGCATGCTGCTTCTGATTGCAAATTCTGCTAGGCTAGTGACTAGCTACTTAGAGTAAGTGTAGCCTCCAAGGAAACGTATTGCTGGGGTTACAATACAATATTCGATAGCAATCGTCGACCACAGCCTGCTCGGCGTCTACGCTAATACAATAATGGGCATATCAACTGGCTTAAACTGCGCTATGAAATTATATGCTATAACTGGCCTTAGATACAATATCTCAATAATGTACACCAAACACGAATACGGCCCAGCATAGGTCTTTCCCTACTAGCCTAAGTATAACTGCGCTATAATGGAACTATCAAGTTAGATGGTATATACCAATAATGTAACCCCACACAGATAGCCTAGGGCCAACGTTCAACACCATGGCAAGGGTCAGGCGTCAAACGTCAACACAGGGTGGCCTACCCAACCGCTAGTGTCACAGTCTAACCCAACCTGTGTTTGGGTTACGTTGTATTTAATTACTTCCGCGTGCTAAGGGCGATCAACCAAAAGGCTACTTCGGGGCCTCAACGCTGGCCGTTAACAGTACATGCTACAGCTACGGCGATGCTGGCCCGGGATGAAGTGATTGAGACAGAACAATAATTACTAACTTTAAAACATACATTTATAAAGTAGAGTACCCATCCTTTGACATAGTATATTATTTATAGTATATATAAGTGACAATTTGCTATGTTGATCTTATGCCTACGGGGCACGAGGAGACCGAGGCGTATGTTTATCGCGACGATCGCGGTGCATAAAATCCGCCAGCGCGATTTAAGCGCGCAGCCGATCACGAAGCGGGCACACGTAGCGAATTGGAGCGTACAGCGTTATCGCACTCGACGGATCACGAGGATCACATGATGCATTCACCATGTATCAAACAACACGTCGATTGGTTCTAGAAAAGCGAGGAGCGGTCGGGCGACAGATATGCCGACACGGGCACGACGAGGCCGAATTTGCCGAGTAAAATAATCCGCCGGGCGTAAATAATCGCCCGAAAATATCTAACATTTGGATGACGGGCGCTTCGTACGGGACGATTACAAATCGGCGTCCGAATGTGAACGGGCACGACGGGGGGCGAAGGCGGGCAGGGGCGGCCGAAAATTTTTCTGGGGACACAGCCGGATTTATAACAATTCAGCGCGGCGCCTCTCTAAAAGCATCAAGGAGCTTCGTCGGCGATCGGGCGATAAAATGCGCTCAGTGTGCCCCTACTTGTAGATGCTTACATTGACTGGGATACATCTACTCTTGACTGCATACCACCCCTATCATGAATATGTGCTGCAAATATAAATCTTAAAAATTGAAATTAGATTTATAATTGTTTGGTTGACAGTGAGTGGTCTTTTAAGTTTTAAATATTCTAGAATCTGAGCTAAAAATACATATAACTTAAATATCTACAATAAAACACATTAAAAAGATAATAAAATGCACATAAGTACGTAATATTACGATAGTGTATAATATTTACCATCGGATAATATGCATGAACTGACGAGAGCAGCTCACAATTGATACGAATAGCACACAAAGAAGAACACGACCTATGAAGGTTTGTATGTACAGAACTGGCAGAATAGAAAACGGGAAAAAACCAAGAGATGAGTGTTGAGAACAAGCAATAATCATAACATACTCTGTATATGGTTGCCCTGTACACTGTTTAAGGGCATGTATATGTAAATACAAATATACATTAAACAGCTTCAATAACTTTGCAGCACTCGATAATGAGATTATCCACTACAATACGAAGCCATGAGAAATGAAGATGCATGCTGATAAGGAGTTGCTAATCTTAATGTCACATGGTCAACAAAAACAATTGTCATACCTAAGATAGTGATGTAGACAATGTACAGTGGAGCTCCTTAGGATATACTGAATATACATGATTTAATGATCAGACATTAAAATAATATCATTCAATGCATTTGGTGATTTCTGAACACACAACAGTAGATTTTTTAACTACTTACAATTTCAACAGATTGCAGAATATGATCTCCTTAACAGTATAAGTTAGAAAATAATGATTAACGGTGTTCACGATTAGATCGGCGGACAATAATCACTAATCCTAGCATGCTAATATGACAGTGTAAAAATATAAACAGTAGATGTTATTGCTTAGTGGAGTTGTGATTCCACACTGTAACTTGGGCCCTTGTACTGCCCACGTTACGTGCCATGTTGGAGCACCTCCAATCCCTTGCTGTAAGATGTCTTCTCAATTACACGTCCACTGGTGTGCCACAAACCAAAATGACACATACATCAGGTTGTCAACTGCACTGGTTCGAACAGAGCGAAAACGTTGTGCTCCTGTCGATGGTAACTAGTGTGTCCTGGATGATCGATCAGTGATTGAAAATAGATTGAGATTATAGTCTCAAATGTCGATAATCGATTCATTGAAAAACCTATAATCGATTATCGGACAAAATACCAAAACAGAACAAGACAAGGACACTGTAGCTCACAGGCGCCACTGTTCGTGATTGTTACTATGACAAGATAGAGCACAAGGTCATGCCAGGGTGCGTCCTTTTCGTCAGACACATACGTAAAAGTTAATGCCTAATTGTTAATTGATAACACTTACGACGTGAATGTTAAATGCGTAACGAGGATTAGAGCGCTGCAGAAACACATCCTAGGCTAACGACGGCAAAAACCTGCAAACCGATAACTAGGAAAACTTTCCACGTAATTTATGTCACACAAGTGGCTGCAGCGCAGCTGATGATGGAGATCGATCAACAAAAATTCAAATTCATACACATTTATTGTACATAACCCAGTAATTTATGATATTATGATGGCTAAACACATCATATAAATAATATTTGAATTGAAAAATTGACGTAGGTCATGAATTTGCTTCTGACACAACAAAAGACAATATCTCAACACTGTAACATGAGACGCATGTCGAGAGTGTGGCAAGCATGGCAAACATTTAAAACAGAGAAGTCCGTTGGATCATGTTTTGCGTTTAGCCATTTTCTTAATGTTTTTAATCAAGGCATTTGAAACCATTCACTTTTAAATTGGATTACAATACTGTATAGGACGACAGAATTGAGTATACAGGGAACAGCAACCTTCACAGAGTATAGATACCAGTGATTCATATAACACATCACGGGTAATATTGAATGCTACTGTAATCAATGTATAACTACCAAAGTAGATGGAATTAAATCTATGCTATTACTAAGACGCCCATTGATTCGATATATGATCGATACGATCGGTTCAGCGCGAAAACCGATAACATTCAGATTCATTGAAATTCCAGCCGAGTTTCCCGATCAATGAGTGATGTACGTTAGTCATCTCATTCACTCTCTAATCCATCCCAGCACAAGGCCTCAGACAGAACAGACCCATAGAGAAAGGTAGGAAAGATATTTCGATCCCACTTGACATTTCTGCAGATAAACCAATTAATATCTATAGTTGCTTGCCTACATTAGTAGGCCTACACCATATATAAGTTTAGGGCCGACCTTCATGAAAACCGGATAACCATGCAATGTCAAGGTTGGTACTCTTAGGCTAAAGGCGCTGCGTCTAATATAAGCAATACAGCTATATACTTTATGAGCATACATTTTTGAACATACAGACTGGGGAGTATCGTATAAGCACACAACTATCTGTGACTAATGAATATTGATAGCAGCACACACTAATAACCATAAATAATATACATATTAATATAGTACACTAACATCATAATACTATATATGCTATAATGGCATAAATTCTGGTACCCTGCTCATGCACTAGCGTGATGATGTGAATTCGCTGCAGAGGTGTTATCAAGATCCTCATCACTTTCGACAGCTGTTTCTGAAGGCTGTAGAGGGTAAAATAAGTATGTATTAAAATTTAGGGGGGGGGGGGGGGACTTTCTTTCAGTTCATGAAATCTTTGAACATTACACCTGGGTATCTATAGGTACACAACTATCTGTGTAAAGGATAATGGGTTGATAGCAGATATAGTGATATATACTTATATATATTATTGGTCAGCAGGCAAATTCTACCCAGGAGGTAGCTGCTGCAATAATGAAAACTTGAGAAAGAGAAAGCTGGCTTTTGGCCCACCGGTTCGCCAAAGAGACTGACTAATCTCTCTTGTACAAGAACACATAATCCTAAGGCGCTAAGAAGCCCCAGGAGGGGTCGGCGTGCGAACCTGCGGCAATAGAATTTTACAACCAGACGGAGGCACGGGAGCGGGGAAGTCGCCTTGACCCGGTTTGGTTACCATATTGGCCAAAGAAGCTGCAGAAAACCTGCGTCACGCTGAAGAGAGCGAGAGACGACCAGTTGTCCGGGCGCGTCCATATAAAGAGCAAGGCGCGTGTCCCGATTTCAGGAGCAAGAGGGGAGAGAAATAGTGTAGTTAGCGCAGCAGCGACAGCTCAACCCAGGCACACATACTCACTAAACCTCGGGTATGCAGCACAACAGCACACACACAGTACCCGGGACGCTATACATACAATTCGTCTTGACACTGTAAAAACAACTTTAAAAAAGGTTTCAAAAAGCTTTCCAAACATCTAGAAAAATCTGCACAGCTTAAACTTTATTTAATTAAGAGCATTCTCCAATGGAGAATTCGCAATGCCCAATTACCGCGTACTGTGATGCCAACACACACACACATGCTGTGATGCACCACACACACAACACAGGTAACACAACTGTGTGCGGTGTGGTGCGCGTGTGACCGATTGGTGACTCTGAGTCTCTATAGATACTCGACATTGGCACTGGTTGTGTAAGCCACACCCTATCATTGACTATGTATGTTAGGACGCACGTGCAGGCCCGTATACAGCCGCGAAGGCGCGAACAGCACCACCTGGTCGGTGCCATTTACAGACAGCAAATCGCTGGCCGCCCCAATATGTATAACTATATACGCAAATCACAATTTGTGTATCCATAAGCCCCAGAATCGGCGATGAACATGAGCGTTCTGCATCGCTTCAACAAGCTTTTCGACTTCCGACGCTAGGGTCGCGCACATCCAATGGGTCGTAATTCCTGCGTAGTTTTTTTATGCGCGCGCGTGCTTCCGTTTTACGAAAAAGAATTTTCCTTTTCGCCTGACTTATGCCCCTACATTATTTGGAGTTCATTCGCCACCACTAGATGGCCGACTACAATCATCTACGTACCATTCACAAGTTTTTTTTTTTTAAAACGGTGGGACTGCATACGCTAGACTGCCGCGACGCGTCCAACGGTTCACACGCCTTCGCGTTTACTCAGCACCAGTTACCCTCGCGACATCACCCGTGAACGCGTACCGCCCCTGTCGATTCTCGCTAGCCAGTCTTAGACGCCGGCGGCGACTGCGACATGATCTGATTCTACTAAGACTCACAGGGTTATGAGCGCAAAAACACAGGCGTATGTCACGTGGTTATTAGCACCCTGTGCCTTCAACTGATTCGGCATCATGAAACACCACTCACCACGTCAATAGCACATTGACAAACCAATGTACTATATAGCCAGAGCGCAGTGACCATATAAAGACCATAGCCGCGCTGTCATACACCGTACAGCATAGCGCAATAGAGATATGCTTCTTTTCGAATTTCATCTACCATCGATTGTTTCATCCGTCAATAATACTGAGTGGCAGGCCATGTGTACCCGGCGTGCCAAGTGTAAGGGGTGCGTTCACGGGTAGGCAGTCAAACGCGAAAGGTTTTTTGCATAGTGCAGCGGAACTTGAGTTCAATAGTATAATGTCGTCCATAGATCCTCCCGTTACTAACTTACTCAATAGTACTCCTAGTACGTAAGTCCGTGCTGAAAATCGTTAACACGTCAACTGTGCTCGAACCATTCTCAATCTCTACCATGG